CCGCATAAAAAGTCAATACTCACAGCACTTGTGCTCAGACAACTCGACTTATATGGATATGAATCGTCGATACGAGGAAAGAGCTGAAGAAGAAAATTGATTCTTGTATGTTCTTCGACGAGGTAAGTAAACAGAAAAGCATTTCCGTGTCTATATTACTAGGCGTACCAATATACATGTAATAAACCATAGATCCAACATAGTAGCGATACATTTTACATTCAGAATATTTTTCCAATATTCTGTTTTAGTCTAACTGGCAGAGAATAGTGGGTAACAAGTAACGAATATTGTTAATTGAATAATCATAGAACGAATACAGAGTTTCACAATATATCTCTGAGAAGCACATTTAATATTATAAGTACTTCCCTGCAGAACCAATAATTCTGACTTGTACCCTTTTTCCCGCCCATCAGGGACATAATTAAAAACATATTGGTACACCTAATACAAATAAATCCAACAAACATCCAAATTAGATTTAAAACTAACACCAAGAAAATACTGAGAACACTAAAAAACCAAACTCCACCATCCATATCTCCTACAAGTAGATATAGTCGGTAATGGTCAGACGTACTAACCAATGACCTGACAAACCTCCAAACTCAAGTTTCTCATGGATCCAGCCGTATTATTCTAAATTCTTAATCAATCTTCGGTCCCACCATCCACAGTGCATCGAACGAAAAATGAAAAGGGTCATCGTACGACAGGAAAGAGTCAGAGACGTCGGCGGCGGAGTTACGTTCGCCTAACAAAGTATTGTCGCAGAAAGTACGAACGAGTCGTGAAAAGGGGGTGCAAGGGGACGGAGGGTCGGCAGGGAATAACACTGGACCGGAGTTCGAATAAGTTTAACGAAGTGCCGGCGGACGTAACAGGCTCGAAGGGGGATAGGTCGCTCGGGGTGGCGGAGGGTGGGGGTTGGGACACACCGCGGCGGAGTAATCGAGTGATTAGGAAATTGATTCATAAGCCCCGTGGATCGGTGAACGACCGATTCGATCATTCCGCTCGGTAGCGTCGGCACGGTGCTGCCAGACTTAATCAACGAACAGAGAGAGAGAGAAAGATAGAGACAGAAAATGGTGGAATGACGTGAGGGTAGTTCAGGGGAAGAGAAACAACAAAGAAACGAAGAGGGGGAGGGTTGTGGGATGGGTGGGAAGTAAAAAAGAGCGACCGAAGAAGTTCGTCGAAGGTAAAAAGACGAAGGCGACTGGCAGAACGAGGAGAAAGCCGGAGGGGAAAAAGTTTTTTTATTGGCTAATTGATTCATTGCCTTATTGAATAGAGGGTACGATATATCGAGCGAGAACCAGTAACGGGAAATAACGGTACGAAGAAACGAACAAGTGAAAAACCGAACCGGCTGGCACGTAACTATATATCAGGATCAGGAAAGACACACGGAGGGGATGGTGAACTTTTCAACCCTTTGTGTGTGGACTACCATAGGGTGGGGGGTAAAGGAACGTTTAGTCTCCCAATCGAAGACGATTATATGCGCCGCGAAACGAGCTCGAAGAGTAGTAAAATAACGTTGTATAACGTACCAAAGATTAGGGGGTGGAAAGGGATGAATGAGGGCTGCCGCGGAATCTGCGCGTTTCCTGAAAAATAGTTCCATCCGACGACCGAGTGAAGGAAGCCAGAATAGAGAGAGCGGGATGGGGAGAGAATAATCGGAAGACAAAAAACGACGAGAGAAGAGAGAAGAGAATAGGTGCACAGGGGTCGAAAATAGTAGTCCCTTGAGGGGGTGAGGAAAAAAAAGACGGAGAAAGGAACAGAGAGGGAAATAGAGGTAAAGGTGGAGGAACCAAGCATAGGAGGGAATGGGTTACACGGAAGAGGTACGAAAGAGTACGAAGGGTGTGTGATGCAGGTGTTGACTGTCTGCGGGGGGATGGGACATGGTCGGTGGTGCGAGGAGACACAGTGATACAGTGGAGGGTTCCTGGAAAGAGTAGGGGATAGGTGAGATAAATAACAAGGTGGAAAAGGAGCGAGGCGACCGAGTGACAGAGAAGGTAACATTGGAGGAAAACTCTGAAGTCGATAGACGAAAGGGCGTAAAAGGGAAGTAAGGGGGGGGGTGGGATAGAAAAGATGAAAACGAGAGAAGGTAGAGGGTGGCGAGAGGAGGATGGGGCAGAGCATGGCGGAACGACGCTGGAAAATTGTGTGTGCGATGTGCTGAAGGATAGCGGAAAAGTGGGGGTGTTGTAAGGAAGGTGACAGAGATAATGGGCACGAGGGGGAGGGAGGAGGGTGGTGTGAGCCGGGAGTAAAAATGTGAAAGACAGTGGATGCCTGCGAATTGTAAAGACAGACGCGCGGTGGTACACAAAGCGCGAGCTGCCAGAGAGAACTGACACTCTTAAGGAGGATGGAGGGAAAGACAATGCAGCCTGAATGGAGAAAAAGGAAAGAATGTAAAGGAGATGGAAAACAAAAGGGGCACGCGCGAGGAATTGAAAGGAGAAAGTAGCGGGGGATGAATCGGGTGGGTAGGAATGGAGGAAGGTGTACAATGGGACAAGGGAGGAAAGGGCGAATAGAGGGAATAGATAGTTTTATTCATTGCCCCCGGGCATACGGAATCCACGGAAATGCCGAGTTATAGAGGGTGCGGTGGTATTCGTGGCGCTTGGGACGACGTCAGAGTGACTCTTTTCGGTGAAATGCGTCGAAATTTTGGAACGACCGTTCCATCGTTGGAATCATATCGACCGCACGATCCTCGACGTATTGTATCTGGGAAAATTATAAAAATTCAGACACAACACAGGAATAAATTTCGCGGTATGGATATGCAGATATTTTATTTGATGTTTTCTGCGATAAGATTCCGTCATATTGTTGGTATATTTATTCTACTTGTATTTGGTAGAAATGTTGATAATAACTATTTATTCTTCACCCTCGGTGAAATATGATGCATTCCAATTTTAGTTGTTAATCTGTTCCACGCATACGTTCAGATTATGGTAAATATTGTATTGCTGTAGATTAATTTATCCCTTTGGACACGTGATTAAGTTCAGTTTGTAATATATTTTGCCCTTTGCCTATGCATATTAAATTATACTCTAGTAATAGATTCACTGCCATTAATATGAAATAGGCCGATAAAATTACGCCACGAATTATTATAATGAATATTTTGTAAACCACCATCGAATTGAATCACCCCCATTGCATTCTATAATCACATCATCATTTTCAAACGGATGATTATGAAAAGGAAACACTATATTCAATTAAATTATAATAATTACTTTTTGTAAATTAACAAGTTTCGGTAGTTCATGAATATTTGTAAATGATAAACGGGACAGAATAAAACCACTGGGGAATCGAATCGTACCCATTGGTCTCTATAATCACGTGACCAGCCCCAAATGGACAACTATAAAAAGGGAACGTTTACTCTTATACACATACGATATAAGAAAAACCGTGTGTACGAACGTCGGTCATCAGCAAAGGTTCGCTAACGAAACGAATAACGAAACACCGACATTAAGTACGCAGTATCGATAGCACGAAATATCAAAGAACCCCAGGAACCATGGTAATTGAATACGATACCAGGGAACACCTCGAGAACCTCCGAGAAGTCGCGGTGGGCCAAACTTTTCCGGAAATTCGTGGCGGTGATCGAAATTCAGCGAGAACGGAAATTCGTAAAGACACGGCGTGTCTGTTCGCATCGTCGGCAGCATACCAAGCCCGTTCCCGCGGGAAATAATTGAATAATTCATTTCATAAACTACTGCGCCTCGAATAATTTTCGTTTCAACGGATTCATTCGCTGCGTCCACCTATAATATATACACGCGCGCGCAGGGGTAGTATTCATCGTTAAGAGCGTGTATCACGAAACAGAGGGAGAGACGTAAAGTTTCAAGGGGATGAAAAAAAAGAAAGAGGGAAAAATTAACCTTGCCTGAGCTTTCCTCAAATATTCCTTTAACCCAGTTGGGGTAAAATTATATAATCGAGTGGCCGATACGACTACTCCTCTCGACGGGCCGCGCACGTCGCGAACAATGTTCATAACTCACGTACACACCTACGCGGAAAATTTCATTCCCTCGTTATCGCGCCCCGCGCCGTCGTGTCGTTCCGGGAGAGACGGTCGCGAGCGGGCGAAACTTTTCCACCCCCCCGGTTACAAATTCAATTCGTTCCGAATTATCGGGGAAACGTCGTTACCGGCGTGTCATTAACCGGTCGTTTTACCCGGCACCTACCAGCGACCACCGATACACATCGAAATTCCCGACATAAAAATCCTGATAATTCCACCCAGCCAACCGTCCACCCCGTTGGTTTTTCTTCAGAACTGGGTATTAACGTCACACGCTCGTCCACGTTAATGGTGATCAATAACACGACCGAACCAACACACATACATTCCGGCCCACTTTCGTTTCTGTCTTTTCTTCGAAGCACGATTATTGGGCGATCATATACAGGGTGCGGCCGAATAACATGTACATGCGGGTACGAGGCGATTCCTTATGAAAAAATAGAAACAAAATATAGAATAAAGTTGTTTCATTTAAGGCTTAGTTTTCGAGAAACTCGACTTCGAAAATTAATCTGAAACACGTGTATTCAATATAGTAGTAAGTAGAAATGGTTTGCAATGAACAGACTGAGAGAAAATGCCGCATTAGTAGTGATACATAAATATGTAACTTGTACGTTACAAGAAACAATGTAATGGACAGAAGAATATTATGTAAAGCGAAGGAAATATATATTTATATGGTAAAAAGAAAACACGGAAATATTGCTAATAAGAGAAATTGGTGTTCAGAATTCTTCAAATGACAATATTTCGAAAGTGTGGCGTTTTTCCAAACCACAGATTTTACTTCGATTCAAAGGAAATGAATGGAAACTTTTGGATGATTTTGGAAACGTCCACACGAGTCTGACTCGATGTTATAAGGTAAGAGGTTAAGAGAATACCTTACCTTGTCATCGTGGGTCCAATATATGGCTGTCGGCGGTTCCGGGCTGTGACGCACCACGCAGGTGAGGTTCATCGTGCTGCCCCTGTTTATGAACATCTCCGGCTCGCCGACGATCGACGTGACTGGCTCTGTGGGATGAGAGGACAGACAGTGTTAGAACAGACATTGTATGAATGACGGGCATGACTTTCAAAAAGAAATAAAAGAATTTTTTAAACTAGGTTGGCTTAATATCGATATTTTTCGCTTCAAAATAACAAGACACAACATATATATCAGTCTCATAATTTTAAAATAACGATTTAAGAATTTGGGCGTTAAAGGGTTAAAGTAAATCGAGATTATTGAGGTTATAAATTGGGAAAAATCGAATAAGCAGTAAAAATGGTACAATATATTTAGACTTTAAAAACTTATGATATGGACGTTGTGCGTAACGTTCTGTAAGAGGAAAAATTACATTGGTACAGAAGCTTCAGTACCAATCTTTGATGGGAGTTGGAGATGAAGGTAAGTCACTTGAAATGGAAAAGGGAGGAGAATACAAGAATACGTATAACGTCACATGTGACGTCATTAAAATAGTTTAATCTAAATCAGTTAAATTAGACTTTAAACATAATGAAGCAATCATTTCTGAAAACAGTCGTACAATAATTTCTACACGCTCTTGTGTATGGTGTGCTTTATATGCGAAGTTAGTATACTAAGTCCTTCATAATATAGGTAAAGGCGTAAGTTTGGTAAGTCATTAGACATGCAGAACTTGACCTTGGAACTTTCAACATTATTATGAATATATGATCACTTCCGTGGCACGAGAACGTGACCTACAATTTCTTTGACCTAGCCCAGACGACCTGAATCTGATCTAACACTGTTTAGCCCAGATCTAATTTCAATATAAATCCAGACCTAACCCACGAACTTTAACCCTGCATACATGAGTCCTTTCTGACTCCCCATCGATTTTGTCTTTTCAGTATTATTATTACCTAACTTTTTTTTTATCTACAGTAATGTCTCGATGAGATCGACGGATTCGGAACCACTTCGGAGTGGAATGACGACGTTGTTTGTGCCGCATTCATCGAGGAATGACTGTATTACTTCTCAATTTTAATTCTTTGGTATAAGTTGTATACAAAGGTAACCACCTTTTAGTTAAAGTTTTTATTAATCCTGAACAATCGTGAAAATTCCTACCCCGTTAGATTCTGGAATTTTTTGACATTTTCTTTGACAAAGTTGGAATTTTTCATCGGCAAAATAAAATCGGAAAACTGGATTATTACAGCGACCATTACTTTTGGAAGCAGCTAATCTTGTAATATATTCACTCGAACTGAGAACAGTAGCTCGGTTAAAGTGCGAGTTAAGTCTGTGATCTGTCTGTGTCATGCCAGGGATAGAACTGTTATTAGCTTGGATTAGGTTCATAATTAGTCTACGACTACAGCGATGGAATAAAAGGAGAGGATGAATTCAGAGTGTGAGTTCCCATCTACAAAACCAGAACCAATCGATATACTCTACCCACGTTATCTAAAATTATCGGTTGGAATACATTCATTCCGAAAAAGTGACGACGAAATCCAGCGAAACAATGCAAACAATAAATCAATAATTGTAAACGTTTCGTGTGACGCGGCTATTTGCGTGTCGATTATGGCTGGATTCAGTGTATACACGATCAATCGATTTCTCTTCGAACAACGCTCGGGAAAAAAATTGAATAAAAACAGGGAAAAATAGAATTGAACAAAACGTTAAAAGTTTAACAAGAATTTATATTGTGTGCTTTACCCCGGTACGTAGGACAGCCCCATTTGTACGGTGCGGTATGATCGCCATGGCAGTACGGGAGGAAATAAATCGAATGCATAAAGGGACATTTTTCTGCACCCATAATTCCCTCTTTGTCGTAAAATTCATTTTCAAAATTCACGGGGGGTGCACGCCCACCGTGTCTGTCCGTCACACGCGATTTTTGTTCGCGCTAAACAATACGGCCGCGGTATTTTATTTTATATTCTATTCATCGTCGATTGCCAGTTTCCGTTGAATTATGATTGAAAACAGTCGACCGCGTCACTCTATCAGTCTTCAGAATCAAATTTGCAAAAATGAATTCTTCCGTAAAGGCTAGTATAAAAACCACCCCTCGCTGCCTTTTTCGATTCGTTTCCGCGTGAAATTCGGTCGCTCCGCGCCACTAATCGTACGACCATTCACTGTTATACTTTGCATTCTATTCCTTCACAATAATGTACAATCACTAAATAAATTTCTACTGAACTAATACTTTCACGAAACAATTCACTCGGAATTTCATAAAATTTCGAAACCCCCACTCATCGAACTTAAACCTGTTACAGTAGGCGCACCAATGACTATATTCAAATTCGATGAATTTTCCCGCTCTCAAGGGGATAAACGCACAGTGGCACCCGGTTTTGTTACGCCAATTCTCTCCAGAAACAAATATTCGATAGAAAGAAGAAATACCGGGCCACTCATCGACGAGCTGGTATTTCGAGCGGTGCAACACCATCGTGCAAAAAAAAAAAAAGCGGTTCTTTCAAAGCTAGGGAAGAACACACACGCTCCCTTGAAGCCAACATGTCCGAATTCAATACTCTTCGAACGCCAGGAGCGTGTGTGCAGGGGGCCAACAAAAGGCTGGGGGAACGCGCGATGCCGCGAGCCGCGGGGCTTTTGTGTTCTCTGATTATTTCTCCGGGTTCATTTCGCGGAGGCAAATACAAATTGGCTGGCAGAGCATGCGGAACGGGGGTTGCGAAGGATCGAAAAGAAAAAAAAAAAAGAAAGAAATGAAACGGACGTTGTAATTGAAATTCAAAGCAGATTTGGAATTGGGGACTCGTCAGGCAACGTAAGCTCGATTTGTCGGTGGGAGGATGCAATGTAGGGGTGGAGGAAACGATGTCGGATCGTAGAGACAATCCTGATAGACGTTTCGTAGAAAATAAAATTAACGAGCAACGCCCCCCTCCCCCTTTCACCCTCGAGTGAAACGGGAGCGACAGGCGATCCGACGGGAAGATTGGCGAGTACCTACCGAGGCGAGGCCAAACGGTAAAAATAGGTGGAGGAAGCAATCGGATAGTGTATATTGGAGGAGAGAATACTAACCGACCACCGAGAGATGCATGGAATGACCGATCGGCGGTGTCGTCGACACTTGACACTCGTACGTCCCGGAATCACGTCGCTGTGTGTATTTCACCTGCAAGGTCCAATCCTCGGTACGTGGGAAGTGGGTGGCGATGAAACGCTGGTCGGAGGTGTACGTCTCGACGCCGATGGTCAGCAGGTGTATGTCCCTGTGCCTCACCCAGGACACCTGTCGAATTCAGACGAACAGAAGATACAACGATGAATCAAGGAAAATAGAATAGATGCCTGTTTTAATACAGACGCCTCTCGATTATCGTCTGGTTTGTCCTACACGATTATTGTCCAGGAAAAAGTACGAAGGATTACGGTTAGAACTAATGACTCGGAATTCAAACTGATTTAGAATCATTCATGGTCGCATGGATGAAAAATCGTGCAACGAAACAAACAGACCGAACGCTTTTGTGTTTCATTATCTGACACACCCTGGCTATTGCAAGTGTTGCCTTGAGCATCGATGCATGTTTCAAAGCGGTTCGATTTAAAAAGGAATGATAAATAGAGTCGACATAAAAACTGATATAAAGCAACAGGTGCTCAGCATGGTGTGAACAACCAGTCGAGAAGACATGAAAAGAAGACGAACAGAGAAGAATGAAAAGCTTATAAGAACTCGCCGGTAAATAAATACAAATGAACTTAATGGACGATCCGGAGAATCTTATATTCCAGGTCATTGCATACGTTTTAAAACGGTTTATCCGAAGATTAATGACTATATACACTGCTGAATTAAAGAAAAGGTAGTTACTTTTAGATGTTCTTCACTTTTCAAATACGTTATTCATTAAATGGTGTTATCATTGAGACCAACAGACTTTTATCTGAATTTCAAACGATTATAATAAAAATTATATAAATAAATTATAATATTATCGATTGACCCAGGATGGTAGCCTCAAATGAACCTGGCCTAACACACCTAAGTTATCCTCTTCGAAGATACGGTCCAGAGGTACTTTATCTCAATTAGAAACAAGACTGTCTCACCCAGATAAAATAAGAATATAAGAACTTCGATAAAACCTCACAAAACTTCCCTTTTATTTTCAATCTATTAGAGCGTTCAATATAGCAGCAAAAGCTTTGTTTAGTAGATGGATAGGAGCAATGTTTAGTAGGACAATGTTCCCGCTACAATTCTAAAACATACAAAATTTCGTCAATTGAAAGAAATAGTATTTATAAAAAATAGTGAAATAGTGTACTATTAAGTAGCTTATTAGTACCAATACACAGTGAAATAGGTGTACCGATAAGTTACTGACATTAGTTGTACCAGTAAGTAACTTATTACCATAAAATGAATAACTTATTGATACACCTAACATAAGTAACCTACTAGTACTCCTATTTCATTATTAATACAATTCTCATTTAGTACATAAGTCGTTGAAACTACAAATTTCTACAATTATCCTCAGTATATTAATCATATAATCAACTTCCTGGCTACCTAACGAGACGCCACAAGTACGAACCTACTCGACTCTCCGATCGCAATCAAACTCCTTCGAACCTGATCAAAGTCCGGCCAATGAAAAACGCACCGGCCGGTGGACGCGCAATTTTCCGCGGTGGACCTACTTAAACTTTAAATTGAACTCTCGCTCGATTACCGTTCGAACGAATACCGAGATCGATTTCATCTCCGATCCCCGAACAGGGCGTAACTTTTAAATAATAGTCTACGCACGGTGGCCACCCCGACTCCATTAAACCATCCCCCCTCGTCATTCTCGCCCATTTTCCTCTCTCTGTTCCGCGACAATTTCCAGCTTTTCAACCCCGTAATAATTTCCCGGACGTTCGTTCAAACAATGACCGCGTCGTGAAAGAAGACGAAGTATCGGTATAAATTCCAAGCAGGATGTTCTTGGAACATGGAAAGAAAAATTGCAGAGAAAAAGGTGGTGATATGGAAAAACTGGCTAGCAGATCTGAATGTTTGCGGTTGGTTTTACGTTACACGGAAATTAAAACAGCTCATAAGATAAGTTTAATAAGTCTGGACTGCGGATTTAATGCATTTCTAGAATATCTGATCGTTCAAAATTCAATACAGCAAAAAGTTTCGAAACATTTATTCAGATGTTCTTGTTATTTCGAATCCACTGGAATCTTCAATAAGGTCAATGAATTTTCTCACAGAATTTGATGCACTTTTAAAATGAGTGTTGCACCGGTACAACACTGGACGTTAAAGGGTTAAGAATGAAGGGCATTATTTCTTTCACTTCGAGTACAAAAACAACAAAATAATTCATTACTTGAAATTCCTACTATTTCAAATCAATCTATAATTTTCAAATACCACTATTAAATGTAAAGTTCCGAAATAAACTATTTCAAATAGTTACATTATTATTGTCATTTCAAATAAAATGTACTCCCCTGGCCGTATTATCAAACCCCTGAAAAACGCAGATACCTCCGTCGATGACGGTCTCACATGTGTATATGTGTGTTCGTTGTCGAGGGCGCAAGAAATGCGCTGTTACCGTGGAAAACAACGACGGACCGTGCGGATAACTGCAATTAATGGTCCTGTAACCGGTCCCGATACGGTTCGCAAACATCAATTCCCGTCGCTTGGACAGCGATTGTTGTCGGTTAAATAATTATTAACGTTATCCACGACAGACTTTTTACACCTCTCCACCCTACCCAACAACCATAGCGTACGTACCGTTTAACCGTATACACGAGAGGATATGTGTGTATGCATGGGTGCGTGTATTGGGGCGGTGCACGATCGTTGAATATGCATTTATACGGTGGTACCGTAGTCATAGAGTCCAGCCGAAACGGTCGTACTTCACGCCTTCAACCGGTGTCATTGATTGCGCGCTGATGGTTTAATGCCGTTTGTTGTGCCGGCTCGTTAAATCGCCCCCCCCCCCTGGTCCATTTCACCCCTCTTGACACCCCTTTTTGGGTGTTCTCTAAACGGAGTACAAATTATTATTTGGGACGCACCGATAATCGGCGGCGGCTACGTTGCACAAAGGAATACTAACGAGACTCGGATAACGGGTGCAACGGGTGAGAAGCCAACGCTTGGTGAACACCTCAGTTCCCTTTAAATTGCACTTGCTTAAGGTAACGGTGGCGAGGTCAGTGAACCGTTTCAAATTCAAGTAGGGCTCACGTAGTGTTGTTACTTGTAATTACAGGTGAATCGAGGCGGGCCCGATGAAAACTTAACAGGTTCGGGTGCGGTGATGGCCACCTGAAGCCGTTAAATTACGGGAGAAAATATTCAATTTCTAAAGAGGAGCGTTTAGGGCTTCGTGAATAGAGTGGCTGTCAAAGATTTCCAGTTGGATTGTAATTTCAACGTATCTTTTTTGAAATATAATACGAATGAAACCTTGATTGGGGATTGTAAATTTACCGACTTTTTCAATTACCGGTAATTCGGCTGAAATATATTTATGAAACATTTTTTAAGAATTTTTACAAAACATCACATTTTTTTCATAAGGCCAGGTGTCCTAATACTTATTAGTAGTATGTGGTGACAATAAGTAGAAACGGAATGTAATGAACAGACATGACAGGAAGTTTTCAAATTCGACAGTCATGAAAACGAAGCATCTTATGAAGAAAATTTTATTCTACATTTTCGACATATTTTTCTATGTAAAATGACATCTTGTCGGGGATTGCACTACCAGTTTGGAAATGCCCTATATACTTAGTAGTAAAGTAATAACTAATCAATTAGTAGTAAAGTAATAATAAATGTATTTTATTATGATATTATTCCAACAATTAAAACTGCGACAGGCAACGTGTTTAACGGTACCTTGAAACTCTGAAGAAATAGGTTTATCTTGAACCGAAATTGAACGTTAGATTGTATGTGAACGCACGATACTGACCCCTCGTTTTCCTTACGTAAGAAGCTTACGAAGGTGAAATTCATGTGTTTGTATGGATTTTTTGGTATTTCATTTTATCCGGCGGCTTTAGTATCGACATGGACGTAACAGAGTTGACGACCGGACTGACAAGGGACCGTGCGAAAGTGTCAATCGCCGGTTTCGATGAAACTCGACACACAGAGGTGAAACGATGAAAAGTATTAGAAATGCTTTTTTTTTTATCGGGAAACGTTCGTGTCGACGAGGTGAAAACAGCCCTTAAACGTCGAGGATGGAAAACGTGTCGGTCTACGTAACAGTTTTAAAAAACGTGTATTAAATATTTAAACAATTATTTTCTGGTTAAATATCGATTCATTTTGAATTGGATTTGTGTGCTCAGTCGAATATCCTGCAAAACATGTGTTCTATCGGATGTTTATGGGCTGTTCTCACCTCTTTAACGTGAATATTTGTTAATAGAAGAAATACTTTAAAAAGATTGGTAGCCAAAGCTACCGCGGGAGCTCGGACGACAGACTCGCGCTCTGATTGATCGGGCTTTTTCGTTAATATCTCGTTAACAAAGCCTCGGATAACATTTTTGCCAAGAAAAAAGTTGTTTCAAATCACCCGAGGAACCCCCCACGTTCGGGAATTGAAGCTATTTTGGGACACCCTGTATTGTATAATCTCCCGTAAGTGTATTACCCAAATATAACTAGATATGTCAGCAAACCTATAGCACCTGTTTCGTTTCCTTCGTTTGACAGACGCAACAGGGCCGTCCACATTACCAATCCCCTAATTCTTCCAACCACTCGGTAAACCACGAAAGCATTCGGATCGCGCCGGCTTGAATGGAGGATAGAAATAAGGTACGTAAGCGTGAGAAAGCAAAACAGCTCGACGGCAATAACACGTTAGTCAAAACACCAACCAAAGCGGATCGAATGTAACCGTCTAGGTTGTGGATGCAGGAGTTGCATCGTAATGAGGGTTGAATCCAAGTAGCTATCGGAGCCGCGTATAAATTGCCACAGACAGGGAACCAAGAATACGCGACTAACAAGGCAACATTCTGAGGGGTTTAAGTAACGAACCGTGTGTATCGCGCCGTAAGCAAGCACCTTCCCCTTCCGAACGTCTTTAATCCCCGGGCGCTTAACGATTTGCCGAGATTTATCGTGGCGTCGCACGATCGTTAGCACACAGGGAAGGGGAGAGGGTGGAAAAAGCTGGATTTTCTTTTTCAGCCGAGTGAAATTTTCTGGGCCGTCGAGCCAGTCGTGTTTTCTGAAAAAAAAAACGTGCATCGAGCGTTATCGACGGCGCACGAAACGTAACCAGAGAGAGTGGGAGCCGAGCGGAGGGGGCAGCCGCGCGCGAAATAAAAACTGCTCGTGCGTACCGTGGGAAACAAAAAAACACCTACGACAAGCGGGCACGAAATCCTACGTTTTACTTAAATTCCAACGCCCGGTAAAATACACGGGGTTAGGGCACGAACAAAAGACGAGGAAGAAAAATAAAAGTTTTTCTCTACCCCCGTTTCGCGTATCGTACCGTGGAAAACAAGTCCCGGTTTGTTATACGGTTAGCAGCCTCGATGGGAGAAGTTGTATTGAGATGGTTATATTATCCACGACGATGATCCTACGTGGGCACTCTTGTGTTACGTTGCATCGTAGCGACGCCTGTCTACTAGCTCGCGGGTAGGGACCAGCGACGAGCTTGTAAGAGAGGCTGAGCTGCGCGGTGGGTGGGGCCCAGTGAAGTGGCGGAGAAGTCGGGATACGCGACTCGAACATTGGCTATGTGTACTTGGTGCGTTCAGTGATAGAATTAGTGGACAATAGTATTGCTCGTTTACTGCAATGAACGACGTAACTAAAAAATCACGGTTTTAGGGGAAACGATTTTGAATGTTTTGATTTTGTAAGAACATCGTATTAAAGTGACTGTCTTGGTGTGGTAGGTTTTGGTAGCTCACTTAAAGGATTCAACCGATAAAAAATAGAGACAACAATTGCTTTTTCTATATTAATAATTCAGTTAGAGGTTGATATATTTCCCAATGGGACAGAGACTCCATTAGAGTGGAGACGTTGTCTAAGGCCCTGAACGAAATTTGAGGCGTAACTGTCTCACATTTGTATCAAATTGTAAAAAGGAAATCGCCCAAGATTGTGGACTAGTTAATAGCAATGGTAGACTGCACTAGTATGGACTATAAAGTGGTTTATTTGAGGTCACGTTTGAACACATTTCACAACGAGAACGTTCGTTAATACGCACGAAATGCTTTCATAAATATAAAAGTGAAATAAGAGGATTCTATTGTTCACCGAAGGGCGACTAATTCCGCATGTTTTATTGGTGTCTTCACCTTGTTGATTGTAACTACTGGGTCGTTTGCTCGAAGGAGTTCCCGGGAATGGGTGGGATTATCGAGAGACTAACAACTAAAGCCGACAGGCGGACTAGAAGATAGACATTACTGTACGCTCCCGACTAGCGGTTAAAAGCAGCACGTAATCTGTTGATGTTCCAGAAAGTCGAGAGAGAAAATACAGCGTCTTCATGAAAATGTAAAAGTTATTCTACAAGCATAAATAAGTCGAAAATGTAGAAGAAAAATTTGTTGCATGATGCTTTCCATCTAGCATAATCGAATTTGAAATTCAGCAGATTTTCAAATATAATGATATTCGATACTGACCTTCGATTGTTTCAGATTTGATTCAAAGGATTTAAGTCGGCTGAAATGTCTGTTCATTACAACCCGTTTCTACTTATTGCCAGCACGAATACGCGCATGTTTCATGAATCTGCAAATTTGATCTTCTCGAAAACAGCCTCAAATGAAAAAAGGTTATTCTACACTTTTGATTTGTTTTTGCATATATATTCACCTCTCTCTCGCTTGTACCATCATATCAGCCACACCCTTTATACAAACATCCGTTTTATATTTTCATTGACAATATTCCTTTCTATTTAAACAGATTATTCTAATATTATTTCTTGCTTTTGCAAATTGTGTGAACAGCAGGATAGTTTTACTGTATCAAACACAGTAAAACGCACCATCTTTTATGATGCTATCTATCGTGGTTATTTGCGGGATTATTAATCGTACGCAATTTCGATTAATTCACGCGAATGATGTTTCCAGTACACGTTGTTTGCATAATCAGCAAGGATTATGTTAATCAATGACAAATTAATGTATGTGCGATCAATTTCTGTTAGAACTTCCACAGTATCACCAGACACAGTAGTAGCAACACGATCCATTGAACAGCGTCGCTGGCGATCGATTTGCAGAGTGGGAAAATCTTACTACAGAAGTAAAAGTGGCCGTTCGAGTCAGTGAACGCGTAAAATGACTTTATTCCCCGCGATTGGATATGCGACGCCACGACGGTGAATCGTGTCTAGCGTTATATTACAGGATATATCGTTGAATTTATCTTTCTATTAACAATCAAACCACCGTCGTAAAAATATACGGTTACCCTAAAAAACAAACCGGGTCAACCTTGTAATAAATATCCCGTTGCACTCCATTGTTCTCTTTGAAGGGACGAAATAATAATTAGGAAATTCCGAGCGCAAAGGGTAAAGAAATCGAAATGAAAATATTACGCGTGACTCATTAGAACTGATATTCAAGATAACACTAACTTTTCATTCTCACACTTTTTAATAACATCAAATATTTAAACGATACTTCAGCCATGTTTATATATTCTAACGATCTACTATTTTCTTGGGCGCCAGAATGACGCAAATACGATCGAAAGAGCACAATATTTGCGAAATATCGAAGAGCTTACGATATATTAAACGATAATAATACTTGATTATTATCTTTTCTGATTACGTCGAATAAATTACAAAGATTAGGAAAGTTCGACGTTCCAGGGTCTATTGGCACCGACTACAGGGAAACATTAAAATTTTCCGTGCTCTCCGGCGACCGAGCGGTGTCATTCTAGGGTTAATGGAGCTCAGGCCGCGCACAGACCGCGAAATTCGTATTCCATCGACTTCGGGAAGGGACTATCAAACTCTGACCGGGGCAACGTGAAAAATGAGGTTACTGTGAAGCGAGTACGTATTAAGGGTAACCTACAGAGTGTGTCGTAATGCTTAAAATCACCGACAAGGAGAATGATTCTATTGTGGCATTTCTATAGATGCATTTCTAAAAAGAAGAATTGAATAGAAACTCATTTTCCCATTACTGGCTCTGTTGCAGAAGTAAACGATAATATATGTGCAAGACTTCGGATTAACATTTGTATTCGAACGTGCTTCGTTCAGATGCATTCATTTCGATTAAAAGCACGAAATCCGTGATGTAATTATTACACGGGGATTTCTGGAAATCGCGGTACAATCGAATAAGAGGCGATTCGACATACAGGACCGAACCTAAAATGTACAATAAAATGTTTTCGTATGGATCTTTGTTGTTTGGGGAAAATCGGATTTGAAAACTAGGCGAGCTCGAATACTGTCTATACTGTCTGACTATCGCGTCCTGTTTCTACTTGTAGTGAACGTTCGTGATCGTGCATTGTGTTACCTATTTTCCGCTGGTATTATTATCTCTTCATCATTGAAATGTAAATTACTGATAATGTCCGATAATGTCATGCCAAATTTCTGTGAACATTAATATAGACATAACCAGTAATTAATTAAAATTATTATTATTATTATTGAAGAAATAACTCGAAAATGTACAATACAATTTTCGTAAATAGGGCTTTGTATGAAGATTTATCGAATACATATGCTATTGGATTGGATTCTATTAGTCTGTCTGTTCATTACTCGCTGTTTCTACTTACTGTCAGTAGATAGCCATGTATCTCAAATAAATCTCGGAGCCTTATATGAACAAACATTAATCGAGACTTTCAACCTATTTTTTTCATGAAGAATTACCAATAACGGACCACCCTGAATATAGTTTACCATTTTTTTAAATAATGTACCCCATGTACCTACCGAAACATTCTCCACAAAAATTCTCTTCCTCAACAAAAGAAAAACTCCGCTTCCCGTCCAAAATACAATCGCTGTACCAGTCGCCCAAGAATCTCCCTGTTCCCCAAAAAAACACAAAAGAATTCTCAACCCCGCTCGTCATCGAACAGCCCCCAAGCCATCCATCGTTTTCCTGACGGCCGATAACCGTTCGTGGTTCCTTGGTCCCGTGTAACATACATCGCGCTTGGTTTACTTACCGTACGATCCCCAAGGTTCCGGACCCGGCAGTTTAAGGTGGCTGTTTTCCCGACCAGCGTGGTGACATTCCTAGTCGCCGTGACGTCGAAGTACGGTCCACGGTCGAGCGGGTCCAGCGGGTGGTTCTGGTGCATCCCGTGATCGGAAGTGCCCCGGGCCAGTCCTTGCACTTTAAATAGGCGACCAGAGACCCAAGGGAGAGACAGACAGAGAGAGAGAAAAAGGACAAAAAACGTATAAGACAAACTCAAGAAACCAAAAAAAAAGAAAAAAGAAAAAAACATTAGCTACAAAAAACCACACAACGTCGCGGTTCTTTTATTTTTTTTTTTCGTTCTTCCTCTACGGTTGGTGTTCCCGGCGGGCTTGTTTCAATCTCCAGATTGCGGCGGATTGTTCTTTGACCCGATAAGCCATTTCCCGTTGGTCTGGTCGCGAGCGGCGCGGAGAGCCATCGCCACGCTGGGCCGCGCGCCGTTCCGCGGGAACGGGAAGAGAAATATTCGCCACGTTGAGCCGTTCGTTATCGGAATTTCGTTAACTCCTCGTGTTTACCGCCGCGTAGAGGAGAGAAAGAGGGGGAGAGAGAGGGAGGGATAGCAAGAGGCTTCGCCTACGATGTACGACCGGAACCGGGCGAGAAATCATTTTAACGTGTCCCGAAACTCGTGGTGACCGTAGGGGTAAAAGCTACGATATATCTGCCTTTTTCCCCCGTTCATCCCCCTCGGACATAGACCTTCTTACACCACCCTCCACACACATATCCGTGCTGTCGCCGGTAGTAAAGTATTAAAGCAGGGGAGGCGGCGGTGAAGTTTTCGTCGGAGTTTTCCGAAACTACTTTATCCCCCGTGATACGCGGAACCGCTGAGCGAAAAGAATCGTCAGTTTTCACATTCTTTCCGAGATCTTGGGGGAGAAAACAGCGAAGGAATGAAACGGCGAACCGTCAAAGCGTTATTACAATAAACGGCCAGGGTACTTTTATCGTTCGTACATCGCTGACTTCGCGAGAACCGTCACGCCAGGGTTCTTTGTATTCGTTCGGGACCGCAAACGCTTGAATAAGGGCGGACCGGAAGACGACGTGGGCTACGGGGAGGGAACAGAGGATTTTATTACATTTTCTTTTATCAAAAACGATGAAATACTGTTTGTTTAACGAAGATGTGTTTTGCTCCGATGAGAAACCACGGGTACAATAAATTCTGCCTTTTATTGTGCCTTCCTTCGCTGTGTACGTAACACGGGGTGAAACTTATTCACTCGTTGGACGATCTCGTATCGAGCAACTTTTAAAGGGGACCAGACACGATTCGAACGCGTGTGTACGAGAAATCATATTCTCCGTCGATGGAAATTTCTCTCAGTTTTGTTTTTCCCAGTGAATTTTCGATACTCGAAATTTCACGCGTGTGTATTAAAAAAAAAAAGGAAAAAATAGGAGTCGCGATTTTTATCTATCATTTTTATTTCGTTGCAGTTAATGGTTCGTGCGGCAGGGGAGGGAAACAATTCTATCCAATTTTGCTCCGAGGAACAATCACAGAGGAGGGGAGGTTCCAGGATCTGTTCGACACACGTGGCGGAATTTCCACTTACCCGAAAACAATAGACACAGGGTAAAGAGTACACCCTTCATTTTTCGTTTTTCTCTCTCATAGTCGATCCACGATGTCGTCGAAATCTGTATATGTGTGTGTATATATTTGTAGCGATGTATGCACGTCGCGATTTCAAAGAACGCACCACCACCTCTAATCTCCTCCCACAACCACCAGCACCACCAGCCCCCCAAGAGAGGGTTCCCGTTTCGACAATGAGGATTTTCGCGTCGACGGTCCTTTCCCAAGGACTTTCACTCGTCAATTGTTTGCGAATTATCCCTTCCCTTCCGGCGGCACGTTTAATCTCCTCCTGGCGTGGCGCAATAATCCCAGAATCCGAATAGAGAGAGAGAGAGAGAGACAGAAAGAGAGTACGAACAGTGGGTTCTATATCGGGTCTCGGAACAAAGGCGCGGAATTAAAATCGCGGGGCGAAAGTATCGGTCGAATCGATAGCATCCGATTTTCCTTGGCTTTTTCACTCGATGTCGCCATTATGGCCCGCCGCTTCGTTTTTCCCTCTTTTTTCTTTCCCTTTCCTTCCCCGTGATTTACGTGCTGGCATGCATAGAAATCGTCCTCGATACTTCTCTCCCGTGTGCCTCGTCCCCACGACACGCTCCTCTCATCTTTACCCGTTCGTCTGCTGTCTATTCAACCCTTTCTTACTGGTTAATTGACCGACGGGCACGAACGCGCGTTCCCATTCGATACACACGATCCTCTTACGAAACAAAAGGGGTCGGAGGGAAACCGCGAGAGAAAGAGACGGAACAAGAAAAAAAGAAAAAAATATATAAAAGCGTGTAACGATGAGAACGAAAAAAAAAACCAAAAAAAAAATCAGAGAACTAAACTGATCCTAGAACGTGTTTCCTTCCACCGTAACAGTTTCTATTATGCAAATCGTGAACGATCCAACCGATTCCGATCTCGTTCGTAGCCCGACGGCGAGGATCAGGGCAGAGGCCGGACCAATTCGGTGACGGAATTCTCGTTTCGAGGGGAACGTCGAGAAACGGTCGATCTAATTTTCCATCGGTTTCCAAATGTACGTGTGCACGACGACGAGAAGCAGCAGGTAAACCGCCGACGATGACGGCAGTGAGTTAAGTGTTTCCTTTGCGACGAGTCTCTCCGCGGGTTTCGACGAGCAAACCGCGACAGGTCGAACGTTTTCCCTGGCCCCGTGTTTCAGCGCGATAAAACTCGTGTTACGAACATCCGAGCGAAACTGATAGTGCATGCGACACGGCCCGGGAGAGACGCCCTGCCATCTGTCCTTGCACACGCCCCGCTTTCCCTCTCCCGAAGTCAACGGGGAAGATGGGGTAGACATCGTCCGGCGCAAGCGTGTATCCCTTTTGCCTCTATATTACTGACACGCACACTCCTGTCGCGAGCGGGCAGCATCCCCCTAGTAGTCCAGAATCGAATTCCATGCCTGCCTGATCCTTCGTCGTCCTTCTCGTAGTCATCGTCATTTGTTTATACATACACGTGTCACGGCACCAACACCGACTCTTCGACCCGTCTAACAAATATCAACGCAGCCAGTGGGAAAGTCGATCCTTTCCTGTCGTTCGCCTTGTAACCGCTAAATCGGGCTTATCGCTACGATCGTTGGTCTACATGAGAGAGAAAGAGAGAGAGAGAGAGAGAGAGAGAGAGAGAGAGAGAGAGAGAGAGAGAGAGGGAGAGACAGTAAACAAAAGGAAATACTTTTTTCTTCTTCCTACTCGAGCATTTTGACCATTGGATTTCTTTCGGGGAATCTCTTTACCGACCCACAAAACGCGGGATTCGAAACGGATTTAATGGTAAATGCTTTCCACTTTTTTGCTCGAACGGAAAGATTAACCCAGTTAGCCGCACGGTAGAAGTCTACTCGAGAACGATTTGGACAATTGTCTTTGGCGAGATTTTTCGTTCTATTTTACAGGGAACTTGACTCGATGTCTATTCAATTACTGTCTGCTTAAGCTTTTTTATTCGGTGAAAAGGGAAAAAATATATAATTATTGATGTATCTGTTTCGGGAAAATTAAGGTATTATCCTGGAGAATTATCCAGTCCAGAGGGTTAATGTTCTAGTCGAGGTAGATTGCCCTAGTCGACCGTGGTATATTTAAATCGGTACGAAGTAATACGGGGATCAAGGAGGTGGAGTGTATTTCCAGTCCGAGTTCCCACGTGGAAAAGAAAACACCCGTAATAAGATGTTCACTTTAGGAAATCCCTTTGGTACAAGATTTCGGCTAATCTCGGAAATTCGGCGCGGTCCACGGTCTACGAGCGTGCTTTAGGATGGCTTTCCTTCGTTTACTTAAGAACCGTCGTGGCACGTTTTTCACGGAATTCGTTCGTGGCGGTCTTACGGGGAATGACTTGAATAATGGGTGTCTCTGTGGCTCGCGAGAGGCACCAAAGCATACCGCCGCGGTCTCTTTGTTCTTTCGAGCGTAATGAACATGCATTGTATCTCTTTCTTGTCGGGCTTTTTTAATGTATAATCCAACGTGATGGAATTGAAAGGAGGGGGGATCGATGCCCTAAATCGTTAGAGGCGAAAACGCGCATATGGGACGTATGCACGGGTCTCCGTCTCAAGGGATTTGACTCGAGGCACCTTTTCACCAAGACGCCTTCTTTTCAACTTCCTCCCCCTCCCTCTTTTTTGCCTCGGTAATAACGTAACAACGCGCGATGATCGAAGTTCTTGTGGAAAAAGCGTGGATTCCCTCGGTGAATCGGGGATACATGCGATGCACGTACCGCGAACCAGTTTATCTTTTAATGCGTTTACGTATTCGTGCGCGCGCGGTCGTTCAAAAACGAATAAGAAAGAGCATAACCGTGATTACGAAACGTGCATACCGAAATAATTCGATAGGGATGTATCGACATAAAATTCGTGGTAGGATTTTTCAGTCATCACTGCGAAATCACCCTTGTTTCACTGTATATATTAGTTCATCGATAATCTTACCTTACGATCAATTGGGCCGGATAAAGTGCCAGCTCGGTGCATTTGTCGGCAATTATTGGCGGAAGGTTTAATCTGCAGAAATATTATCGTATTTCGTTCGTTACGGATATCGCTGTTTATATCGCGATCGTAAACAACCTCGATTGTTATCGATACACGTTTGTGCTCGATTCTACGGGTATCGATTACGGTGGAGCTGCGGACTTCAAGCGGCATGATTATGGCGTGAATTTTTAATTGTAGGTTATGTCAGGGAACGGTGGTGTTGCGAAGCATTCGACGCGATAACGAAATGTAATAATTATATTGTTCTGCCGTTGTTGAACCGTATGGAAGGATTCTGTTAATTTTAGTTTGCGTTAAGATTATGTCACGCTTCGTAATGCGAATTTTTCTATTCCTTTAACCGGTCTGTCGTGCTACACTGGTTCGTGTTCGGTTTAGTAATTGTTCTTGATTTTTTCGCAAAAATGGACGACCAAGCCTGTCCAAGATGCAAAACCACCAAATACCGAAATCCATCATTGAAAATGATGGTAAACGTATGCGGACACACGTTGTGTGAAAGCTGCGTTGACTTGCTATTCCTTAAGGGTTAGTATTTTCATGATAGTCGGAAGTTATTCTGTAATTCTGCAGATTAATAATTACTAATGATTTATAAAGGATCTGGATCTTGCCCTGAATGCAAAATTCCATTAAGGAGAGCAAATTTCCGGGTGCAGTTGTTCGAAGATTCAATGGTAGAGAAGGAAGTGAACATAAGAAAGAGGGTGCTTCGAGACTTCAATAAGAGGGAAGAGGATTTTGCAACATTACGCGAATACAATGATTACTTAGAGGATGTTGAAACTATAATATATAATTTAGCTAACAACATTGATGTCTTAGAAACGCATAAAAAGATAGAGCAATATAAGAAGGACAATAAGGATCAGATCACAAAGAGTAAATCCAAACTTGGTAGATGCGAATTTGAACTAGAAGAAATGCTAGAGCTAGAGAAGCAGAAGGATGAAGAAAGACGATTGGAATTAGTTAAACAAGAAATGGAGGCTAAAAAGAAAAAGATTCGCGAGAAAGAGGCATTGATAGATGAACTTACATTCTCAGAAGGGAATGCAAAAAATATTGTGGAAACATTTGCCTCTTCTATTCAAGCATCTAAGAAAGAAACAAAAGCAGCACCTCCTAAGGTTACTCAGTTTAGTACAGGAATCAAATTCAGCAACCAAGGAAGTCAGAATTATATGTCAGTGCCAAGGATGGAAGAAGGACCTTTGTACTCTTATACTCCTATTAGGCAATCAACTGACGGGCCAACACCACCTGGTTGGAGAGAGTTGCAAGCTCGTGGTTATGTTTCTCATGTCCGTGGGGAGTCTTCGGCAGAAAGAGCAGGAGGATTTAAAGCACATGTTGCTTGTCTAAGGGCCTTACAAGAAGCTATGGCTGGCTTATATCATAATCCTTCTCAACACCAAACAGAATACACAAGTGTATGACCATATATATTGTTTTAATGCCACTGTAACTGTATCTTTAATTTTGTACATAGGCTGACACATACCAACTGTTCTTGTAATTGTTACGTACAACTCACACTCTTTGACCAATTGATACAAAAGTTATACATACCAAGCTAACTAAATCCATGTGATATGATCACATGTAACAGGTACATGTGCCTTGTATATTTATATAATTTTAGTATGGCATATTTTATATTAGAATTACATTACCATGAAAATTATATGACTGCAGTACCTGGCCACTCAATGAATATGCGTAAGGAATATCAATTTTCGTTTCCACAAAAAATAAAATTCATTTTGTTAAATATAGAGAAATATGTTAATAATCCATATCCTATGTACGTTCTTACTATCTTACGGATGAATGTTAAAATATTTATAAATGTATTTATAAGTTAAAATATAATTTTGGTAAAAATTAAGACATTGTTATGATGTTTCACCCCTTAGCACAGCTTTATCATATTTGTATCTTATTTTTCCATTTCTTAAAATCAATGTTTAATGCGGTTGATATGATACCAACTGTTGTTATAGTAAATTGCTATAATATTTTTCACTTTCCCGAATAATTATCATTGTTTAAAAAATTACAAACAAAATATCTACAGAACAAACCATTCACGCACGAATTTCTGTTTCACTATTAGCAACAGTTCCGGACAGTTTCCGTTGCATTTTAGTCGCGTCCAACATTACCAGCAACCACGAATTAACACACTGTTAGTAAGAATAGAGTATTTATATGTTTCATTTATATGACGTGAGTCTAGTTATTTGGCGGGAATAAATGCATGCGTTCCTTACATTTAAACGAACGATTTGTGAGTGGTCTATGCTATACCTTGTCTGTGGAGAATGATGTATGACTATGTACAAGGATTGTATTTCCTTATAAAAAAAACTTTACCCATGTCAATATCACATCAACAGTAAATGATGTATTACTGTCCAAAAATGTCTGTTTAACCTATTCAACTACATATCATAGTATAGAATAGTATACAATATTTTAGGTACAAAATATTTACATAATTTAAAGACGTCGATCACAAATGACCGGCAGAGTAACGAACAACCTTGTCGACAAGGGCATAATGGTTGCCCACAAGGGGGCAGGTCCTCCTCTACCTTTTTTTAGAGCATTTCAAAAAGTCGTTACACCAATCATATAAACCTTAACAATGAATATCTAAGAATTCACAAATTTAAATATATCCATGACGAAATGAAATAAACAGTTTGTTTAATTATTATCATGCAAATCTTTTTTCCATTTTTGTCACTGTTACCGTAATATTAAAAAAAAAGATACTAATCATTATTTATAAATTGTTTCTATTAATAATAACAGTGAAAAAATCTTACCTTTTACTCGCGAACTCAGATCCTCCGTTTCGCTGCATTCCAGCATAAACCGCGGTATATGCGTTGCGTAAATCACACTTCTCTCTTCACGTCACTACACACCGTTTAAAAATCCACTTATTATAAGAACATTCTCCAGATACTACGATACACAATATATAACGATCTAACCGTACATTTTAACGCACTTGTTATTGCATCACTCTCTCAATAACTGATTTCACGAACAAGGAAAAAATAGAGTCTGAACGGATATATAACTCCGACAACGATTGAATTTCATGTCACGTGTAATAAATTCCGCAAAAGACTAATATTTTCAAGATTGAATTGTAGTAAATGAATAATTTGATTGTTAATTTCGTTTAACCAAATGCCCTTCGTGCAAGGACGCGATGCTTTCGGTACCATATAAATATGTCGACTGAACATACTTGTTTCCGCACAATACTAACAATGGACCGATAACACAAGATATATACACTGTAAACAACGTTCTCGGTTTCTATTTACAGTTCCGCAGACGTCTTTCTTGTTGGAAAACGATCGTATTACAAAACAAGATCGTAGGTACATTTAACCGTCATCTTTCATTGTCGACCACTGTGTCGTGAGGAGGCTGTACTTCGATAATCGCAATAAACCAGAATCGATTTTCGTTACGCGTTCGCCGTGAAGTTTCCTCCACTCGTCTAGTCCCTTGAACATCGGAAATCGGTTGCTGCTCGGTAGTCCCACGATTAAACTTTCCCATTGTGAGATTGCTTCTCGTTCGATTTTCAGGGTTTCTCACGAAACTCGCGGAAACAAATACGGTTGGCGAAGAGTCACGAGCGAGCAAGCGAGAGCATATACGCGCGAACATCGGCGACGGGACGACGGTGGTGTGCCGAAATGCTTAATTAACGCGAGTGGAGCCTCGGTGGCTCTTGGACGATACAGCCAATCGCGTGCTCGCAAGTGACCGAAGGCTCCGCCCACCGAGAGAGCCCCGTTGCCCTTTTCCTCGTGACTACCGGCCACAGTACGTACGCGAGCGTTCACGGAGTGTCATCTCGTTCGCGTTGGCTTCGCTCTGCGACATCAGAGTTTCTTACGTTACGTCGTACAGAAACGGTTGAACGTATTCCGTTCTTTTTCCGTGATATCCGTCGATCCGATCGCCATCGTTTACACCGGCATCCCGATTGCGCGCGCGTTTTCGCAGGTTCTTTCGTTCGAAAAGCGCGGTTCCGCTGGTAACTTCGTGGTGGCGAGACAAGTGCTTTACCGGGGGGACTTAGATCGAACTTATTTTCGCGTTCCCCGTGCCGTCACGAGGCCAGTGATACACATCCCCGGCGCGGAAAACATGTAAGAATAAAAATACGGTCGAAAGTACGTAAAGAGAAAGCCCCGTCGTCGTGTATCTTGGAACTGGGTACGCGAGGTTAACTGCGATCAGTTCGAATCACGGACGACGATTCGATCTCGATCTGTCAGGCCTCGGAATCAAGTGCCGATGCGAAACCTCGATCGATATCGACGCTGGTGAGAATGCGTGGCTGAAGCCGGGACCGACAGGACATCCTTCGCCCTTTCTTTTCTTTTCGTCATCGAGCGACAGACGATCCACGAAAGCCAGCCAGCCCCCCTTCCCCCCAGCCATCGAATTTGACGAAGATGCGGCCCGTCCTGTCAACTGTTTTCCTTGTACCGTTGCTGCTCGTCGCGTGGCAAAACGGCGCGCAGGCCAACTGGTGGTGAGTTTGTACAACACGATTGTTTATGTCCGCGGTACAGATAAGATCTCGCCTCCCGTGCCTTTTGAGAGCTCGGATCTTCCCTTCGCCCGTGTATTATTTCCACGGAGGGGCACCCCTTGTGTCGCGAATAATTTAAGTGGGCCGCAGTACAACTGTTTCTACTGTATTTTCCTTCTTTTTTTTTTGTTCGTTCCCATTTCATTTGAATAACGGCGTGACCATTGAACCGTCTTTTCTTTTGTCGCGAAGACTACGTTCCAGAAAGCGCGACATCTTCTGTGAATAGTGTCGTACTTTAACCTATAACATTCCTTTTATGCTTCCACTCAAGACAGGTATCCTACGCTTAAACGGACCGACCTATTGTCAGATCTTATCGTCATCTTTCGTATCATTATTGCGTCTACATGTTACACCGTAGATACATTGGTATCAACAACAATTGTTTATATTAATTGCAACTGAATTGAACCCAATGTACTCCCGAGACTTTAGAGTTAGAATTTTTAGGAGTATGTAGAAATTTGAGAAAACAGATATTGTCGATAGTACTGAGTTACTTATTTCCATCGTTCATGCGAAAATAATAGAAACAGAGAAAAACTAACTCATAAAAACGGCGACATGCTCCACAAAGCCGGCTGCGACGATAAAGTCCCCGCGTACAGCTAGGTGAAAAGGAGTGAGACATTAGTTTGCGGTAGCTGGTGATCGAGAACAGCGATCACGCGGCTGGTAATCTCGCGATCTACATTTGTCCGCTCGTGGAGAACTCGACTTTCAGTCGACTGATATTTCCTCTAGTAGACGCGTGACAAAGTCGCTGTCCGCTCCGCGTCCTGCCATTTCTGTCGGGGGCCGTCGAAATTCCGATTGCGGCGCCGCAACGGCAGATCGGCCGAAAGAGTCCCGAAAAGTCAATCAATCATTGGGTCGTCTGGAATGTTGTTCCTGAATCTTAAGGGTAAAAATCTAGTTTACAGTCTTGTTATAATACTTCATAACTGTCTTTTATTCTGTCCAAAAAGACATGAATGGTTTCTCCATTCTGCTGCTCAGGTTGGCTAAATGTGAAGATGTGATGGCTTATCCATCTTTGTTGCCTCGACTATTGAGACATTTAAGACCTTGTGACCTTTTCGTGTACTCAAACGAAACGCCTTCTACGCGTTATTGTCATGACCTATCTGTATCTTCACCATTAAATGCACAATATCATTCTCCTACGCGTTAACCTCCATTCCTTCTAGAACACGTTCATTTCATTGTTCTTCCCCCACTAAAAAATTAAAATGTTTGTCGCTTTATAGTTTCTTAATTTCGTTAATTCTTTCATCCATTTTATACTTTCTGAATTTCGTTAATTCTTTCCTCCATTTCAGTTTCTTAGTGATCAGTTGCAAGTGTCTGCTCCTTTACATTCTAAGACGATACATGTTCTATTCATGTTAGGTACTATAACAGTAATAACTCAAATTTTACGACCCCTGTTCAACTACTAATGCAATATTAACGGTCTCCTATCTAAATAGCACAAATCTTCAAGACAACATAGTCGTCCTAATTACTCATTCGACTCGCGAAAAATCTATTCCGACCAATCGCGTGTTGCGTCATAAAATCGGTTTAGGTTACAACGAGGGTTGTAACGTACAGTGCGTAGAGAATTTCTCGATGGAATTTTCGTATTTCCGCAATATCGCCAATTAATTCTAGTCGTTCTAGCATGACTATCACGGCCGGCACTCTAGCAAAAGAAACGTACATATTTTGCTCTAATGAAAGATTTTATTCATCCGACCAGTCCAGTTTTGTATGATTAACGATCGTGCCGCTCGCACCGGCGCGAATTTATCGTCGGCCATGATTTTGTAAGATCCCCGCGAAGAGATGCAAAAAACATAGCTGCGAAAATCCCCCCCTCCTCCCGTGTAACCGATCGTGTCGGCTGTGAAACGCAAGTTCGATACGCCTTATAAGATTATGCGGCGTTTTTACGGGAACAGGTATAGGTTCCCCAGCGGCGTAAGCGTTTATTTTAGCATTTGAAATATACCATTGCGAAGCGCGCACCGGAGGAATATTCACCAGCATCAAGCCTCGACACACGTTTCCGTACATAGAAAGGCACGTATGTACCGGAGGATGATGACGAAACGTTCGCTCCGAAGGACAATTTTCTACAGATCGTTTCCACCCATTGTTCCCTTCCCCCGCGACATATTTACTCCCGCGGTCGTCTAGATAGCTAGATACGCATCTGTGCGAATCCTTACCGTCAGCCTTAGTGTAATCGCCATTTTGAGCGATCCGAATGAAACATTCAATATTTACACGTAACTTTCGTACTCTGACCATAAATAGCATTGCAATATAGAAAATAGATTTCGATTTCTCGAACAGTCTAATTACACATTTCCACTTAAGAAAATATCTTCCAACCGTCTAATGTGGAGGACACAAGGTCGATACAGTAAACCTCGTCCAATGAAACAAGTGTCCCTAAATGGTCATCGCTATGTTCATAGTTACAGACTCGATTCGTTAACCACCCACTTAATATGATTGAGGTCTACGAAAACTCAATTGCATCGAAATTCTTTCTTACAAAAAATACACCAAATATTCGAGAATAATTGAACTCGAAACACTAGTATCTCGACGGCCGTACGGTACTAATCAGATCGAGAACGATTCTGTTAAAATTAACCTCGTTAGGGCCACGAACGAACAGACGGACATTCACATTTTAAAAGGCCTGTAAAAGACGGACGGGTAAAATTGGCCGGTTCAAAGTCGGCCTGATAGACGAAGAATCCCCTTCGATCGGACGATCGGGGAAGCCCCGATGATAGCGATGATACGCACCGCCGGCCGAGGATGCAAACGAGAGAGAGACCGCCGGTGGTGTCGACGCGCCCCTGCAGGGCGCATTTTTAAAACGGGAAGGCCGGCAGCCACGGCACCACGGTTGACGTTCTACGGTCAGCCACGATTCTCTCTCACCGGGCCGAAGAGATTTTATTTCCGACAAACTGGTTCCCCCGGGCGATTAATCGGCCCCGGTGACGGGCTACAGGCCTTCCGGTGTAGGTATATATACACGTATATAAACTCGCCTCTTCGCCTGTCGCTTTATCTTGCTCACGGAGGTGAACACGCGACGCGTGAACTGCAAACGCTTAATAATTCACGTTGAGTCGCGGCTGTTAGCCTTGCTTAACGGACAAATCGTCGTTGGGTTCCTTGCCCGAACCAAAACCCGCCCCCCCCCCCTTTCCCCAACCAGCTGTACATTGCGCTCGCCCCGTCGTTCCACCTTCAGGCGATTTCTCAAACCGAATCCTCTTTAATGCGTTATCGGCCGCGCGAGTTTTCGCGGTCACACTCGGCCCACCGACGGTCACTCTTCTCGGACGTGTATTTAACCTCTTAGCTACGACCCGTCACTATAGTGGCTTTCCTCGATGTCATCATTTTGAACTTTACGCCACTATAGTGGCTCACTTGTCTATCCAGTGTGTAAAACCTTGTACACCCACGAGCGAACTCTGCTCCCACTGGGGGAAAAAGTGGCGTAGGGGAAGGGCCTCCTCCCACTTGGTATTGGGAATTACTGAAATTTATGTCAAATTAACATTGGATTTAACATATATTTCAGTAGTTGAAATCAATTTACCAAGTGGTAGGTGGCCCTTCTACGTCACTTTTTCCCCTAGTGGAAGCCGAAGTTGCTTGTGAGGGTATATTACATATATGTCAGGGGAATGTTTTTATATGTGAAGTATAAGAATAGAATGTAATTTTATTAAATTTATGGCATTTCAAGCCATATGCATATCAGCTTTGATATTGAAAAACCAGGTTTCGACGTCCATTTTGGTACCAATATCATTTTTGGACGATATACGGATTGCTTTATACACAACGAACATCACCTTTTTATGAGCCGACTTTCCTAATTCATTAGAAGAATCGGCTTTCTTCTATAGTCTCTTTCTGCAATTACAAAGATTCTACACATATATGGAATAGTTGTTACGTACGAAACGTTATCGTCGAGTGATCTGCTCGCGGCGCACCACTTTTCAGACCTGCAAACGGATTTTCGCGTAGGGTGGGGGTTAGGAGAACGCACGAAAGGAATCTAATGAACGCACGCGGATACGCGATCGGCCGATAACGGTTGTATCAGTGAAATATCACGCGCGTCACCGCGCGGCCGGTAAAGTGTAAACTTCTCTCTCTTGTTTCTAGCGGGGCCGGCAGGATAAAGTAATATTTCGATCCTGATAAGCCGATAGCTCGCGAGACACGCGTTTTACAGTGCACCGAGTGTATGGTGCTGTGTTACAGTTCGCAGCCGCGGCACTGTGGTGTCTGGTTTACGCGCGCGCGCGTTATTATAACGGTCTGGCAAAAAGAGACGGAGGGTCATTAAATAAAACCAGTTTGATATTAAAGAGGCATCATTGCGTCTAAATCCGCGCGCGCTCGCGAATGATATCAGGCACCGAGGGGTCGAAGACAGGGAGGATAATATCGGACCTGTCTTTTCAGTCGTCACGATCACCATAAAGGGACGATGAGGGAACGAACAGTTGTGTATCGTAAACCATCTGGAGTTGTTTTTATAGCGCGGCGTAGGAACAAAAGCGGGGGAGGGAGAAACGATAAGACGCGTCGTCGTGGCCGGTCGAAGATTTAATAAAAGCACCTTTATTGCCGAACCAATGCGAATCGGTCGACGTTCCCGCGTGGTCGTACGCACGCATCTCTCCTTTACGACGAGCGATTAAAAGTCGTATCAACGAGAGTGGCGACCTCCTCCTTCGAGCCGTTAAAAACACTCGTTGATGGCCCGTAGCCGATCTAACCTCCGCGAGGGGCGACGCTTTATTTCGCGAGCTTTTATCCCTGCCAGGCACCCCCCCCCCCTCATCGCCTTATGGCGGCTTGACCGTCGTAAGTTTGCCTTCGGACAAGAGGAGAGCTTC